AGACAGAAAAATTACTAAAAAATGTATATCAAGGTTAGAAAAAGGACCAAGAATACACATATTAATGTGATAAAAAAATTCTATCACATTGTTAACGTATTAATAGAATTATAGCAACATTAGGGAAAAAAATATATATATATATATATATATATATTTTAGAGGGAACACCTAACGTAAAAAAAATATCTTGAATATATTAAAAAAAAATATGAAAACCGGTCTCTGGATTAGTAGCCAACCTATCGTATATAAAAATTGACACACACACAACAACCAAAATGATCAATCTAGAATTGTATGATAAATAACTAAAAGGAATAGTATATAAAAGAAAAGAATACACCTAAAATCAATTTAACTAGTATCTATAAAACAATTGACACATTTCAACATCGTGTCCTAAAAAGGGGACAAAGATCTTAATGCATAAATCCATTTGGTTCCTAATTTTGAAGTCACCTGCACCGAATCCTAAAGTTACTGAAAATATTGGAATTAGTTATTTGATATATTTTACGACTCTGTCTGGAAGGAGATTTAAGCATAACTGCACGGGATCTGTCAAATATCTGGTCCAACTCTAAATTGGAGTCCCCGACCAAAATAACATCGTCCTCAAATTCTGGAGCCAAGGAACGGAGTAGGGACTAAAATTAACTCTACCTGATTGGGAGAAACTTTAGTAACTTTTTCAAATGTCCTTTCACCAAAAGATAGCATCCCTCCCGATCCCTGATAATTTTAGATTCAGTAAAAGATAAACATCGGGATAAACAAACACCCCCACTTGTTCGTAGCATTAGCAAAGTAGCAGAGAGGATCATCTTTGTGGACATATTGTGGGGTAAAAAGGGGTGAAATGCACCTCTCGAAGGGCTACTATATCCATGCCTAAAGAGCGGTAAGAATTAAAGCCTTTAATACATTTGGAGGGAGAGCTGAATCCCTGGACATTGAGAAAGCAGTCGAATAATACCCCTATCAATCCGTTGGAGACATTGTTAATAAAAGGCGGACTATATTCAGTTAAACTCCCCTGCCCCCAGAGCATGAGAAACGAGGATTGACCAATAAAAATTATAGCTAACCCTCAGAGAAAAAAAAAAAAAATACAGAAAACACAGGAAAAGAAGAGACGTAAGACACGTAGAATACTCAAAACCTTGTGCCGAAAAAAGTCTGGCATTACACATTATAGTACAACCAAAGAAAAAATTAACCAGTAATTCCATGACCGTAGCCCTGCAAGGAAGGGGTCTACCCAGAGAACAATCTCAGTGGAGAGTCTTCCAATCTGAGAGGGCCCATAGACACCTCCCGTCACAAAAAAAAAAAATCCGAATAATATAAACATCAATGAAAACCAAAAACCCCGCAAGAGCAAATATCAGCAGGAATAAAAGAACCACAATAGAATAAGCACTCATTTATAAAATATGGTTTCAAAAACACATGTGGAAACAAACCAAAAAAAATTTGTAAAGATTGTAATATATTAAAGCTTTTGTGTGTGTGTGTGGTGTGTGTGTGTTTCATGTTGAAATGCTTTTTTTTTTTCTAACAAAATATATTTTTTAAAAATATATTTTTTTTTTAAAATCTATTCAGACATTTTGACCTAAATTTATTGCTAAATTGAGTGAGTTGGATATTTTTTTATGACCGAAAGTAGAAAATGTTTAAAATTTTATATTATATATATATATATATATATATATATATATATATATAAAAATTTTATTTTTATTTTTTTTGTGTCACAAATAAAAAAAAAAAAAAAAAAAAAAAAAAAAAAAAACTTAGTGGTGATCTAATACCACTACAGAGAGCTCTATTTGTGTGGGGGAAAAAAAAAAAAAAAAAAAAAAAAAGGACATACATTTTGTTTGGGTACAGCGTTACATGACCAGGCAACTACCAGTTGAAATAGCACAGTGCCGAATAGAAAAAAAATGACCTGGTCAGGAAGGGGGGAAAACTTTTCAGCTGTTGCAAATTATCATCCTGTTTCCTTGATCAATTGCGATCTTAAGATTCTCACAAAAAGTTTGGCTTTACACCTTATATGTTTTTGGCCCATTACATTCATGATGATCAATCTGGGTTCATTAGAGGCCGTCAAACGCTTGATCAAATTCATCGAACCTTGGCACTACTGTCTGCTGTACAATCCAACTGGGACAATTCCTTGCCGAGGGAAATGCTGTTGCTGTCTCTAGATCTCCATAAAGCGTTCAATAGTCTAACCTGAGACTATTTGTTTCACACTTTGGGTGCATATGGCTTTGGTTCCTCCTTTTTGACTCTTCTGCAGGCCTTATAATGTAATCCTTCAGCTCAGGTCTCTATTCATGGGTACAACTCTCTGCCTATTGGGAGAGGTACTAGACAGGGTTGTCCCCTCTCCCCTTTACTTTTTGCATTAGCAATAGAACCTCTTGCTATCCGTTCTGACCCCCTATCTCAAGTATCCACTGCAGCCAACTGGATCATAAATGTGCCCTATTTGCCGATGATGTCCTCCTCATGTATGTGTTTGATCCTCGAATGTCCTTACCCAATCTACTGAATTCATTGATTCTCTATAGCTTCGAATCTTACCCTGAATTCCTCAAATGACTGAGTTAAATATCTTGGTACCCCCCTTCAGAGGTTTAGTATCTTCGAGACAACTTTGACTTTCAATGGGCTCCTAGCTCTCATCCCTATCTGGGGATTCATTGCACGAGATCTTTGTCAACGTTATATCATGCTAACTATCCCCCTCTTTTCACACAACTTAAGACTGATTTGCTTAATTGGGCAGACCTTCTCTTTATCCTGGTTAGGTAGAATCAATTCTATCAAGATGACATTTCTACCAAGATTGCTTCATTATTTTCAGACTTTACCAATTGCAGTCCCCAGAGAGGAACTCTTACGCTTACAATCTGACATTTCTCGATTTGAGTGGGGAAATAAAAGTCCTCAGGTCAATAATGAGACTTTATATTTCCAGAAAAAGCATGGTGGTTTGGGACTTCCTAATATTATGGCTTATTTTCATGCAGCCCAGATAATGCAGTTCTCTTATACTACAGCCAAGGGATATGTACCTCAGTGGGTTAGTGTTGAGGCCGTATCTTGTCATCCTTATGCGGCTTCCCAATCAACTGCGCGCTCCAATTTTTTGCCCTACATTGTCCTACTCTAGTGATCTGGGATAGGTGGAATACCCGTAAATCTTTATTTTCTCCACATAACCCTCTGGCCCCAGTCTTTTGTATCCCTGAATTTATACCTGGTTCAATGCAGTCCATGTTTCAATGGTGGATCAATAGGGGCTTTTTACGTATTATATGTAGAGACATCGTCCATATTCTTTCCAGTATTTCCAGACGAAATGCAAATTACCTTCTATGGAATTTTTTTCATTATAGCCAAATTATGTCTTATCGCTTGCAAGCCTAAGTTACTAACTGAACCACGAACACTCACCTTTCAAAGTCTCTTGTAGGGCTTCTGGGGTGGTGAAGGATCATCTGTTATTTATGCTTCCCTTATTGATCCAACCGTTAAACTGTCTTATATGATACAATGAAAAACAGCAGAGGGGCTAAACGCTAATGCTGGCAGTGAACGGGGATAATCCTGCCAACACTGCCTGTTTGGGGACACTATACTTAGGGGGCACTAGTATAATTTGGTTTATGATTAATATATTGATCCGTACAAACACTATACTATGTAATTGCAGTGATCTATAGTGTGAATGCAGTAGAGTGCAGACAATCTAACGTGGCTAGGGGCAGTAATAAAATGATCAGTGAAAAGTGCTTTATACGGGCGATCAAAGGGTTAAGTGTGCGCGTGCATGCGTGCTTTTACTCCGTGTGATGCACTCCCCTCTCTCCCAAGACAGATAGGGGGCAGCAGGGGTGTGCACATATATGCATTCACACCGGGAAATAGAAATCAATGTAAGGGTATGTGGCTCTGCCCAGAGCCGCTGCATGCCCACAAATTGCCGGCAAGCGGAAACTAGTTAGGGGAACCTTTTATTTTATTATCTTGAAAACCTTTCAATTGGATTAGTTCAATGTTAACCATAGTAAACACACTACTCTGGGGAAAGGGGTGAGCAGAGATTTTTTTTTTTTTTTTTTTTTTTACACTTTGCTTTGCAGGAACAATAAAGATTATTGCTCCTACAATGCAATGCTTGCTTTGAACGGTCATCAATGGGTTAAGTTAAAATTAAAGTTCAAAATACTAGTGCTCTGTGATTGCCTACAGCCAATCACAAGGTACAGAGTGTTGTGGTTGGCCTATGTACCATGTTAGAGCTGTGGGCAAATCACAGCTCAGCAGCAAGAGAAGCAGAGCTGTTATGAATTAGATGGATGCATAACAGCTTTGCTAACACTGCGATCATAGCGGTCACATGAACACCGGGTCACGATAACAGGAATCCACATTCCGCTGCAGCGCCCCCATGTTAGTACAGCCAGAGTGACGTACCAGTAGGTTGCTCTGCCTGTAGCTGCCGCCCGTTCACAGTACAAGTACTGTGGGCAGTCAGCAAGTGGTTGATGTACAATATGGCTTGTGTAGCAATTGAGATAGAGATTAATGTATATATAGCGTGTGCGATTAATATCTCTCTATTACTACCCCCCCTCCCTATTTTCGTCTATATTTTTGCCACAACAGTGGAGTGACCCTCATAGCTTTGTCACCATTAACCCTGCCTTCCCTGTGGTGAGATAAATTTGGCAGTTGCAGCAAAGTCAGGAATTCTGGGTATAAAAAGATTTTATTTTAAAAAAAAAAAAAAAAAAAAAAAAAAAAAAAAAAAAAAAAAGGTACACAATTTCTGTAAGGACTGCCAGCACAAACCACAAAATACATAAATGTATAACTACTGCGAAAACTGGACAGTGTGCAAACCCTAGCATTTAACAAAGTGAAATGACAGCCTGGCAGGAAAATGGTCACATTCAATTTCCATCACTTACTTGAGTTGTCAGCATAGATGGCATCTTTCCCGAACATATACAGCTCACCATCCTTGGTAATGACCGAGCTGCTCCCATTATTGCACGCAGTGCTCAAAACAAATTTACCTTCCATTTTGATCATTTTCTTAGGTTTGTATGGTTTGGACTGTCTTCTGCTCTTTGCTGAAAAGTTCAACCAAGGATGTATTCGTAATTAGAGACAGATTAACAACTATATATACACACACACAATGTTTCAATAATTATTAATGGTGATTCAATTAGTTATCAGGCAGGCACGCAGACAACCACACACCAAATTCAAAGCTCTTTGAAAGGTAAGAATATATGGTATAAAAAAGGAACATCAAATTACATTTTACATTACAAATGTACATTACATAATTTACAATTTCCCAGAACACATTTTGTCGAGCAATTTATGGGCACAAAACATTAGCTGGATTTCTATAAGTTTAGGGTACGACTCAATTAGAAAGAAACATTCATACCATGCAAACATAATGTTTCTAAATGTAGATAAAGTAGGATTTTGAAAATAGGCAAAGGTTAGTAATGTGTGTATGTACATTTGATTTGGTATTAACTTCTGGCGGCCCTCTGTACAGCAGGGCTCAAACTGGGAGAGTCAGAAGCAACATTACGAACCCATCAATTGTGCTGCAGTACTCATTTACTAAAGGAACATGCTGACAGGACAAGAGAATAGAGGGACAGAGATGAGCTCATCCGTTTACTTCTCCTTTGCGGTCTAATTACAAGCGGATAGCAGGCAAAAGACCTAGTTGCATTACTGCAATAGAGAAAAGCTAGGACACAAGTCTGGTTCCTGAATGATTGCTGGTCTCTTTCCTTACATGCACACACACGCGAGCTTTTAGCCCAGTGGATTTCATCTAGTGGCATCCATACAGTTGTTTTGAAGGTGGTTTCTCAGTTCCCAGTGTGATGAGCTTGGTGTCATTCCAGAAGTATTGAGCGCATTTGTGTATCATTTTAGCTTTGCTTAACCACTTGCCTACCAGGCACTTATACCCCCTTCCTTACCAGGCCAATTTTCAGCTTTCAGTGCTGCCGCACTTTGATTGACAATTGCGCGGTCATGCAACATTGTACCTATATGAAATTTTGATCATTTTTTTCTCACAAATAGAGCTTTCTTTTGGTGGTATTTAATCGTCACTGGGCGCTTTACTTTTTGCGCTATAAATAAAAAAAAGTGCAAAAAATTTGAAAAAAAAAAAAGTTTGTTTCTTTTATAAAATTTTTCAAACAGGTATTTTTTCTCCTTCACTGATGTGCGTTGATGAGGCAGCACTGATGGGCACTGATAGGCGGCACTGACTGATAGGCGGCACTAAAGGGCACTGATAGGCGGCACTAATGAGGTGGCACGGATAGGCGGCACTGATAGACAGCACTGATTAGGGGTCACGGATAGGCGGCACTAATATGCAGCACTGATAGGTGACACTGATGGGGTACTGATAGACGGCACTGACTGGCACAACCCCTGGGCACTGACTGGTGGCACTGACTGGCAGCACTGCTGGGCTGCACTGGTGGGTGGCACTGGTGGGCAGCACAGGTGGGTGGGCACAGGTGGGTGGCACTGCTGGGCACAGGTGGGTGGCACTGCAGAGTGGCACAGGTGGGTGCACTGCTGGGCACGGGTGGGCGGAGCTAGTGGGCGCACTGCTGGGCGGAACTTGCAGGTGGCACTGCTGGGCACCGATCATCAGGGCACTGATCATCAGTGCCCTGATGATCGGTGCCGATCCCCGCTCTGACAACTGCCGGTTCTCGGCAGTACTTTCCTCACAATCTGACAGCGTGAGGAAAGTGCAGCCGAGAACCGGCACTTGCATTTCCTTCTGATCAGCGTGTCATTGGACACCGCTGATCAGGTGGTAAAAGGCCCCCTGGGGCGCGCAGGAGAGCGCGTTCTGGGAGGACGTCATATGACGTCCACTCAGAACTGGCCGGCCGCAGTGAAGCCGTCATTCGGCTATCTGCGGTCGGCAGCTGGTTAATAAAAGAGGTTTATTGCAATACTAGGGCATGCGCTTCCCTGGTCTGCTTTTTGTTTAGAGTGTGCACAGTCCATGTTTTGGCAAGACCCTGATACAGTGATGGCTGCAACACCGATTCAGCGCTTTTTTGGCTCGTCATACCTGAGTAAGAGTGTGGGATTAATGGTGATCTGGTTAATTAAAAACAAAAATGCAATTTGTGATTAAAAACACTGGGTAAATATAAAAACAGGAACAGAAGAAAACAGCTGGCTTGCGCCGAGGATGGCTGCCGTCTTTTTGTGCTAAAAAGATTCCAGGCAGATTGCCTGAGAGACTCTTAGAAAAGGACTTGCTGTACACTAATGCATTCACGTACCCTGTTTAAAGTAGTTGTATACTAATATTGCCATTATAATCTTTCACTTTATATATTTTTTTTTTATCCTTTTCACCGACACTCTACTTTACTCCGGTGTGCCTGAGTTACTTGTTCTTTAAACAAATAGGAATGGGTCCCATGGAAAATTATGACCCCGATTGTTTAAAATTTTCATTTTGCTATTCTATGAAGTAAAAATTCAGAACTTGTTCCATTTCATTGTAACCCGTGACTGGTTACCAAATCACTTAAGTGGCCTGTGCTCTTCAAAAGGTTGAGCACCGCTTATGTAGAAACTAGATTTCAGGTTTGAAAATGAAAAAGATAAAAAGGGAATCACACTTCTAGAGAAAAAAAAGGACTTGTTATGCCTATCTAAGGAACTAAATACAACATGTAAAAAGTTTACTCAAAGATCACAACTACTTAAAAGCCATTCCAGTACTGCATAACGTAGCAGCTTAAATTAAACTCTGATATTGCATGACTTTTTTTTTTTTTTTTTTTTTTTTTTTAGGGATTATATAGCATCGTAAAATAAATATTTTGCTAAACTCCCACAAATCTGATCTGCTAATAACATTATGTAAAGAGCGCATATTTTGTTGCGGCACAGTATATCCAAAGGTTTGAATTTTAGAGTGGGGATGGGCGGAGATGCAAACTATAGCACAGGAAGTCAGCTATAATAAAATATCCCATACTTTTACAGGTATAAAACTCATCCACAGCTCTTTAAAATGAAAAGAAAAAATTATTTATTCCAATAAAGACACTCTTGGAAACCAACCAAGTGAGATACTTACTTGATTCACCATCTTCTCCTTTACTTGCAGTCCCAGTGAAAAATACACTTCCATCATCAGCAGTGAGTAAGGCATGAGAACCATCATGACCAACAGAGAACTGGACAATCTTTGGAGATTTTGTTATTGGTAATTCTACCCACTTCCCAGAAGATGGGCCACCTTGCTTGATGCCTAGGCTCTGATATTTACCAGTGTAATAAACCTGGGTAGATATTCAATAAAAAAAAAAAAAGAAAAAGAAAAAAGGATTCATATAGTTAAAAGAATGTTTATGTAGCATTTGTAACAACCTTTCAACAGTAATTTTTTGGACAACTTTGTTATATTAGATAGAAACTGAACAAAAAGGGACAGCGAGCATGCAGGGATCCGATTAGATCAGCTGCAAATGCACTAAAAAGGAACCCTAGACCTTATATATAATACAAACAAAAACCAGTGCAGCGCTAAAAAAAAAAAAATGATACAGTGTAGGACTAAAAAATACAAATACATAATTAATAATTATGATAATAAATCAATAATAGATACAAGTGATAGCAAATATATCTCTTAGATTGTAAGCTCCAAGGAGCAGGGCCCTCCTAACCCTCTTGTATTGAACTGTATTGTTGCGGTATTGTCTCCCGTTATATTGTAAAGCGCTGAGCAAACTGTTGGCGCTATATAAATCCTGTATAATAATAATAATAATGTGGATGAAATGCTATGATTAGCGCAATAAAATAAGTGCAGCTGTGAAAGTCTGAAAGCAAAAAAGTGTTCATAAGGTGGTGAAGGTCTGACAAGACACCGGTCAAAATACAGGTGGTGTCGGATTATTCCATGTGACTTTTATCCGTGCAGGAGATTGATAAAAATGCACACTCACCAGATACCCATAATTAAAGCGCAAGGTGTTGAACAGTATATTAACCAAGAATCTGCAGGAAGCCCCCTTTAGATGGACCAGAGATAGCATGGGAAGAGACTCCCTCCTCTGGATAGGAGACTGCTCTGCAACCGTAATTCCACTGTGGTCCTGGGAATCGTTAGCTATAGCAGGTGGTCAGATGTATTTGATGAGTTGTGTTGGTGGTGAAGGATCACTGGAGCACAGCACCAAAACTACACTATTTGTTTGAGGAATTTGCACAGAAACACCTCCTTGCTGCAGTGCTGTTCCCGATTCCTTTCACCTGTGTGGTTTCCTTTCACATGAGTGGTAGGTGAGCACAGACAAACCACATCTGGTGAGTGCACATTTTTATAATTCTACCGCATGGATAAAAGTCACATGGAATAATTTGATACCACCTGTGCAATAGGACCCATTTGCAACACTGTATTCTGACTGGTGTATGTCAGACCTTCACCACCTTATGAACACTTTTTGCTTTAGGACTTTCACAACTGCACTTATTTTATTGCGCTAATCATAGCGCTTCATCCACATATGTTTGCTATTACTTATATCCATTATTGATTTATTATCATCGCTAATAATTATGTATTTTTTAGTCCTACACTATCCTTTTTTAGTGCTGTACTGTTTTTGCTTTGTTATATTAGTTAAAATGATTTCAAACGCTGAAGGTTGTTTACCTTCATGTATGGAATGCATGAAGGCAAAAAACCTGTGTGCTGCTCCTCCACAGCCCCTCATACTTGCCTGAACCCCATCTCGATCCAGATATGTGCACGGCAGCCTCTGCTGTCCCGGGTCTCTCTCTCCCCTCACTGACCGAGACACAGCAGTGGGAGCCAATGAGGAGTGAGCGGGAGCAGTCTGCACCTCTATCTTATGGAGGCATAGAGTGGTGATCAAGAGGGAGCATACACCAGTGCCCTCATAGCAAGCAGCTTGTTACTGGAGGCACTGATCGAGGGGGAGGAGCCAGGAAAGCTGGCAGGGGACCCAAGAAGACGGGGATCTGGGGATGCTCTGTGCAAAACCATTACACATAACAGGTAATTATGACAAGTTTTTTTTTTTTTTTTTTTTAAACAAATGTAACAAAATGAGATGAACATACATGGGTGCATAAAGACTAGATTCAGTCACTGCTCTAGCTAATAGTTACCAATATTCAGCTAGACCAACTAAATTATCTCCAGGTGGAGGTTCTCTGCCATTATGTGATGTTCCCCATAGCCAGCACTGCTTTTGATTGAATCTGTCAAAAATCAGTTACTGAATAAGGGCCACCTATAACATAGTAACCACTTTCCCAGGCATTATTAGAGGATAGGGATGAGCTCAGCCATGTTTAGACATGAATGAGCTACCCTGGAAGGAATCGGTCAAAACCAAACAGCCATAAGCAGTAGAGGCATCTACACATACAAAACGTCTAGTATATGTGAGGCTGTGGAGAAAGGAGTGCCTCTACCACCGTGGACTTGCTGTTGGCTTTAACAGGTTCCTGGCTGGACAGTTCAGGCAGGTTCGGACTTGCATCTGAACCCACCCGAGTTCATTCCTAACCATTGACAAGTATTCTGACACTTGCCTACACCAAGCTTTCAGTTTAAAAGAAACATGTACCCAGTGGTATATGAAAGTTCCCGCTGCTGATGATTTTTCTTTAAATGCTAGCTGGTCTGGCCGCTATACTAATCCTCTTCTATACCTGAGTCACTGAGCCAAAAATGTTGCAGACAGTCAGAAGTACTGATCTGTACACTTGTTCTGTCATGGACTCAAAAAAGTGTCAAAATCACTAGATCAGCATGACAGAAGATCTAAAGACATTCAAAAGGAACCTAAGCATTTTGTCAACACAAGCTCCCTATAATAGAAAAGGTTTATGTAAAAAGAAGTATAGTTTTATGTACCTTTCCACTAAATGTTTTCATCAATGCAAACTCCCTTCCTGCTCCCAGAACAGCCAATTCCTCATCAAATCCGGTGCCTGTAAGAAATTAACGTAGAAAGTAACACTGGGTAGACAGACATATTTGCTTGGAAATTGTGGAATTTTGCTGGTTGTGTATTTGTTCTAAGATGTTCATTGACAAAATGGCTTAATCTTGACAGTTTAACACTAAACTGTACAAAACACTCAGGTGTATAATATCTCAAAGATAAATGGAAGCACACATGAAACGCAGTATCTATACTATACCAAGTATTTCATAGTATGCAGCTGCACACAAAAGTACAGAGAAGGCTCTTCACTTACAGGAAAGGCATACGCACAAAAAAAAAAAAAAATAATATATATATATATATATATATATATATATATATATATATATATATATATATATATATATATATATATATATATATATATTTATTACATTAAAAAAAAAAAAACACAAAGAAAAACACAAAAAAACCTCATTACATTTTTAGGTGCTTTTTTCCTTGATGCATTAAGGCATGCATATAATTGCAGATGTCTGAATGGATGTTGCACCTGTATCACACAGGTGTGTTAAGGTAATTTCTGCTGGGAAATATGTAGTCTATATAAAACAAAAAAAAAAAAAAAACACCCTAACTCACATTTTGTAGGAGCTTATGTTCTGAAACCATGGATACAGCAACCCACACACTATTGCTGCATACAAAAGTTAAGAGCAAATCAATTCAGTAATTCCTTACTTATGATGTGCAAATCTTTCTCCGAATCAAACAGCGAAATGCCACAGGCATGCAAACATTTCCGAGCCAGTTTAAGTTGTAACTCTTGCTGTAATACAGGCTCTGTGCTAGTAGCGAATATTCGAACAACAAATCCATCCTGCAGAAGAACATGTTAAAATAAGCAAAACAAACCCTTCAGCACAACATATACAAACATCCAATACCTTCTGTTTGAAAAAGAATTGTCTATTATGACTCATAGTAGAACATAAGGTTTCCAAATGACAATCATCAAAAATGAGGATGTTTACATTGTTCAGACCCTGTCAGAAAAGAACATGAGAGATACATATGCAGTTTTTTTTTTTTTTTTTGAAAGTGCCAGCTTGGAGGCGGCATCCGTATCACTTATCTGGGAGAAGTACAGGCATTTAAAAGGTGTCATGACACCTGATTTACGCATGCTAGTTATCATCCAGGAAAGAATGGTGGCGGGCTGGGTTTAGGGAAGCAGAGCCAGACTAATTTAAAAAAAAAAAAAAAAATTGTGAACACCCCCTCAAAAAATAAAATTTGCTTTTTAAAAGTGTGTGTATACAATAAGTATCAAACTGCCCACAAGCCCACTGAATAATTCATACAGTATATCTGAAAAGCAAGCTTTTACGAGAAAGTGGGTCCTTGGTAAGCTAAAAGTCCCAAAAAATAATTTGCTTTAAAGTATTGTCTGTTTAATAAAAAACAGTTATAAAAGTATGTGAATGCAGGTGGTTTTTAAAAATGATTGATAAACTGGCTGCTTTTGCATGACCTAACACCCGTGTTTGGGCCCATTCACACCATGCACGCTGCAGTAACATGCAACACGTCTGTTGGTGCAATTCAGGGCCATTCATTCTAAATGTTACCCCACCTCAGTGAACTTGCATTGAGATGTCCTGCCAAAAAAGCTGCATAAATGCCTTTAAGTCCATTGTGGTGTGCTCATTTAAATGTGCTGCCCTGACGCAACACACATCAATGTGCCTACAGAGGATTGGTGTAATGTGAATGGGCCCTAATTTTTCAATGCTTTTCTGATCTGTCCATTCAAAGCTTACCAATTATTGTGCAGCATAAAATTTGGTATAATCAGGTATAATTTAAAACAAACTGTTTACAGGTAGGTAATCTGGTCAGATTTTTTTTTTTTTTTTTTTAAATCAAATCCATCAAAGCAAAATCAAGCTCAGGAAGAGACGCATTTATCCAGAGGAAAAAATATTAAAAACAATGGCTCTCACCTCTTTAGAAGCAGCGATTTGGTTGATAAACTCCCCATCAGTGAAGAGTATGTTCTGGCCATCAGCATTACAATCTAGATTGTGAAGAAAATACTGACAAGTAAAACATTACCTTACCAGTTTAGGTTAATTTAAAATTAAAAAAACAAAAAAAACCCAAAACATTTAAATTCATGGCTATGAAATCCTGTGCATGCAACAACTTTGCATCTAAACTGATCTGAAATCAATTAAGGCTTTGTTCAAAGGGGTATACCTATCCCCCCCTTCTGTGCGAAGGGTCCTCTTCACCTGCCTGGGATGTACAATTGTTCCTGTGCAGGTGCATGCAGACAGTCTGTTGAAAGCCAGGCAACCAATTGCATGTACCTACATAGGCATTCCAGAGTGCACACCCATGAGACCATTTCAATCCGTATCGTGGACCCGCACAGATAAACACTCTAATGCCCATGAAGATCAGCCGGCTGCTTGTCATTGATTTTAAAACAGGCTTCTGGTATGCCCCTGCATGAACACTTGTGCACCCCAGGCAGCTGAGGATAGCCCCTCATACAGGTGTACATATCAATGTGCGTGAGTGAAGCCTTACAGCTCACTGTCATTTGCAAAAGGATTTATAAATAATCAGGAATAAAAAAAAGTGACCAGTCTTACCTCAGCACTTACAAGTAAACATTATTTGCTGTAATTTTTGTATTCCACAGTTTCAATTGCTGCTGGAAAAAGCAGCTAAAGTAACAGTATTTCCTGTTCTTTAAAACACAACTGCAGTCAATTTTTTGCTTGTTTTGAACAGAGTAGTGAAGGTTAATATTTCCATCAGGCTTTTATTGTTGTCTGTAACCACACCAGGGATATTTCCCCTCCCCTGGTGTCAGACAAGAAATAAGGGGCACAGAAAGTTACAGACAGAAGTAGATATAGTCTAACCTTTCCCCAAGTTATAGAAAAAAGTTTTTGCACTTTACTCTTCACACTATCATAAACAAGTAATTGCTGGAAAGTCAATCTGAGGACTGAGGCATAATTTCTGGCAAAAATTAAACTGTGGACAACTGTGCTAAATTGAAAATGCCACTGTATTTACCGTAAAGTCATATATATATATATATAAAAAAAAAAAAAAAAAAAAAAAAAAAAAAAAGTACCCACTCTCTCCTCATGGTTTCACAGGCTGTGATTGACAGTAGCAAGAGGCAATGGCTCCTGCTTCAGCCAATGAGAAGGAAGAGTCTCCAGAGAGCCAACGCTCTCGTGCATATCACTAGATCGAGAGGGGGCTCGGGTGGGTAAGTATTGGGGGGGGGTTGGCTGCGCTGCTGCACACCAAGGTTTTTTTTCCCCATTCATGAATAGAATGCATGCAGGTAAAAACCTTGAGCCTTTACAACCACCTTTTAAGCTAATAATGCTACCACAACTCAATTTATACATCATAAAAAAAAAAAAAAATAAAAAAAAAATAAAGTTTATAACACTCCTTAATACAGGGCTTGACAAGACAAGATTCGCTTTGAATCTAGACAAAAAGTTAGGAGCCAGTCTTCTAGCGTAGCGTGGATTGTCAGCGCCCGTGACAAGGCAAGTCATTTGCGCCCCCTAACCCCAATTTACTTACAGCACAGCAGCCAACCAATAACCATGACGTCATTATTTCAGGGTTAAAAGCTAGCCAGAAAGAATGACAAAAACTTGTTATAGGGGGAAAATCCTTATGTCGACTGCCTTCTCACCAATTTTCACAAAGGGTGGTCACAAAATATTGATTTGGATTTCTTCTGTACATTTACTTTTCCAGTTTAATTGATAAAAGTAAACAATTAACATTTCTATTTCTGAAAAGATTCTTAAAGCTGAGCTCCAACCAAAAAGGGGAAGTTCCGCTTTAAAGACTGGTCCCCCACTTCCCGTTAAGGATTGGCACCTTTGAGGAGTGGGTACCGAAATTGGCAGGCACCCGCACCCACTGCGATCGGAAGCAGAAGTTGTCCTCACCCCCACCCTCCTCGTAGTCTTCTAGGACAAATAACAGGTCCCAGAGGACAAAAAGGACCATTAACAAAAAGCACAGTGCTACTCGCGCAGTGAGCACCCAGCTGTGAAGCCATAAGCTGTCACAGCCAGGTGCCCACGTGGAAAATGCTGGCACTGGGAACACAGGGTGCCCTGTGAAACAATGCAGGATCAAGTCAAGTGTCCGTTTAAAAGTCAGCAGCTATAGTTTTTGCTGCTGCTGGCTTTTATTTTTTTTTTTTTTTTAATGTTCACTGGATCTCCGCTTTAAATTTACATAATGTTTTCAAACCCGCCTAAAAATTTTGCACAGTGTTATACCTTCATACAACCGCCTACATCCATTCATGTAGATGGGCAGCTATATGCAGTGCTAGGAGCTACCAGACACCAAAATACACTAGTGAATTTACAGTCAGGTCCATAAATATTGGGACATTGACACAATTCTAACATTTTTTTGGCTCTATACACCACCACAATGGATTTGAAAGGAAACAAACAAGATGTGCTTTAACTGCAGACTGTCAGCTTTAATTTGAGGGTATTTACATCCAAATCAGGTGAACGGTGTAGGAATTACAACAGTTTGCATATGTGCCTCCCACTTGTTAAGGGACCAAAAGTAATGGGACAATTGGCTTCTCAGCTGTTCTATGGCCAGGTGTGTATTATTCCCTCATTATCCCAATTACAATGAGCAGATAAAAGGTCCAGAGTTCATTTCAAGTGTGCTATTTGCATTTGGAATCTGTTGCTGTCAATTTTCAAGATGAGATCCAAAGAGCTGTCACTATCAGTGAAGCAAGCCATCATTAGGCTGAAAAAACAAAACAAATCCATCAGAGAGATAGCAAAAACATTAGGCGTGGCCAAAACAACCGTTTGGAACATTCTTAAAAAGAAGGAACGCACCAGTGAGCTCAGCGCACCAAATGACCCAGAAGACCACGGAAAACAACTGTGGTGGATGACCGAAGAATTCTTTCCTTGGTGAAGAAAACACCCTTCACAACAGTTGGTCAGATCAAGAACACTCTCCAGGAGGTAGGTGTATGTGTGTCAAAGTCAACAATCAAGAGAAGACTTCACCAGAGTGAATACAGAGGGTTCACCACAAGATGTAAACCATGTGTGAGCCTCAAAAACAGGAAGGCCAGATTAGAGTTTGCCAAACGACATCTAAAAAAGCCTTCACAGTTCTGGAACAACATCCTATGGACAGATGAGACCAAGATCAACTTGTACCAGAGTGATGGGAAGAGAAGAGTATGGAGAAGGAAAGGAACTGCTCATGATCCTAAGCATACCACCTCATCAGTGAAGCATGGTGGTGGTAGTGTCATGGCGTGGGCATGTATGGCTGCCAATGGAACTGGTTCTCTTGTATTTATTGATGATGTGACTGCTGACAAAAGCAGGATGAATTCTGAAGTGTTTTGGGCAATATTATCTGCTCATATTCAGCCAAATGCTTCACAACTCATTGGACGCCGCTTCACAGTGTTGATGGACACTGACCAAAAGCATACTGCAAAAGCAACCAAAGAGTTTAAAGGAAAGAAGTGGAATGTTATGCAATGGCCAAGTCAATCACCTGACCTGAATCCGATTGAGCATGCATTTCACTTGCTGAAGACAAAACTGAAGGGAAAATGCCCCAAGAACAAGCAGGAACTGAAGACAGCTGCAGTGTCTGGTGATGTCTATGCGTTCCAGACTTCAGGCTGTAATTGACTGCAAAGGATTTGAAACCAAGTATTAAAAAGTGAAAGTTTGATTTATGATTATTATTCTGTCCCATTACTTTTGGTCCCTTAACAAGTGGGAGGCACATATGCAAACGGTGTAATTCGTACACCGCTCACCTGATTTGGATGTAAATACCATCAAATTAAAGCTGACAGTCTGCAGTTAAAGCACATCTTGTTCGTTTCATTTCAAATCCATTGTGGTGGTGTAAAGAGCCAAAAATGTTAGAATTGTGTCGATGTCCCAATATTTATGGACCTGACTGTACATTCTGAGGAATGCCCCCATGTGTATGAGCTCTTAACCACTTCAAGTCCGGACACTTTCACCCCCTTCCAGTCCAGGCCCATTTTCCACTTTCAGCACTATCACACTTTGAATGACAATTGCGCGTTCATGCAACACTGTACCCATATGAATTTGATAAAACTATTTGAGGTATTTATTCACCACTGGGATTTTTATTTTTTGCTATATAAATGAAAGCCCAAACATTTTGAAAAAGTGTTTCTTATAAAATTTTGCAAATAAATAATCTTTCGTCATAAATCTTGGCCAAAATGTATTAATCTTTTAGTAAAAAAAAAAAATATACCGTATTTGCCGGCGTATAAGACGACTTTTTGACCCTTGAAAATCTTCTCAAAAGTCGGGGGTCGTCTTATACGCCGGTACACATGTTTAGGAGGGCTGCGGCATTAAGTACAGGGGTTTGCAGGGGCTGATGTCTCTTACCTGGATCCAGTCCGACGACGATCCGGTCCAGGAAGCGCGGCGTCTCCTTCAGTTCGGCCACTGGATGTTCGTGCGGCTGCTCGGCTCCGCCTCCTCACCGGTGATTGGCCGCCAGAACTGTAGCTCAGGAAAGGCACACAGGCGGCCAATCACCGGCGAGGGGGCGGAGCCGAGCGGCCCCGCGAAAATTGAGTGCCGGAGCAGCAGGTAAGTGTTCAGTGTAGAGGTGCTGCTGCAACCACATATGCTGGCTGCAGCAGCACCATACGAGAACAGGGTCAGCAAGTCTCAGTGGGAGGAATAGTGCCCCATCATTGGTGTCACTGATACCAATGATGGGGCACTATTCCTCCCACTGACACCAACGATGGGGCACTATTCCTCCCCCCCACTGACACCAATGATGGGGCACTATTCCCCCCCCCCCCCACTGACACCAATGATGGGGCACTATTCCTCCCACCGACACCAATGATGGGGCACTATTCCTCCCACTGACACCAATGATGGGGCACTATTCCTGCCACTGATACCAATGATGGGGCACCATTCCTGCCACTGATACCAATGATGGGGCACCATTCCTGCCACTGATACCAATGATGGGGCACTGTTCCTCCCACTGACACCAATGATGGGGCACTATTCCTCCACTGATACTAATGATAGGGCACTATTCCTGCCACTAATACCAATGATGGGGCACTATTCCTCCACTGATACTAATGATAGGGCACTATTCCTGCCACTAATGCCAATGATGGGGCACTATTCCTGCCACTAATACCAATGATGGGGCACTATTCCTCCCACTGACATCAATGATGGGGCACTATTCCTCCCACTGGTGTGCATTGGAAGAGGGGTAGTCTTATACGGCGAGTATAGCCCAAACACTACATTTTAGCAGGAAAAGTAGGGGGGTCGTCTTATACGCCCAGTCGTCTTATACGCCGGCAAATACGGTATATAGTTTATAACCAGAAATTTTAATTTTTCCAAAAATTTAAAATTTTTATATTTATGTTTTTTATTTTTAACATTGTCACCCTAGCAGTAGTGTCACCATAGTGGCACTGTACTACTTGTGGGGGGGGGGGGTGATTTTTTTTACACTGATTGCTTTTACAGCCTTTATGGGTGTAAACAATTTCTCCTTCTCTCTGGCTGCATTCTTGCAGCCACTGAGAAATAATGTGCGAGCTGTGATTGGTCAAGGCTGTTGGGAAAAGCCTTGTACCATGTGACCTCTGATCATTCACAGATTTCACTAGTAGCAAGCAATGTCAGACGTTATTATACAGGATTTATATAGCGCCAACAGTTTGCTCAGCGCTTTACAATATAAAGGGCAACAATACAGTTCAATACAAGAGGGACAGGAGGGCCCTGCTCCTTGGAGCTTACAATCTAGGAGAAGTGACATCTTGCTTACTACTATTCATGTGATCACTGATTGGCCTATCAGTGATCATAAGATCAGGACCCCACACAGAGGTTCCGTACAGCCAGGGGTGTATTTACCACAAGGCAAACAAGCCATTTGCCAAGGGCGGCATTTTTCAGGGGGCAGCAGCATTTTTCAGGGGGGGCAGAACCGCATCTCCCCCCCAAAAAAAATGGATGGCAGCAGTGGCACATGCAGGAGGGGACGAGGTGGGATCTGAGAGAGGCTGTGGACTGCTTGGTGTATGCAGAGCCTGACTCTAGTTTCCAGGGATGTCCGGAGCTGTGAAGGTGAGTGTCTTATCTCTTGCCAGAGTGGAGAGGGGTTTTCCAGTGTATGGGGGGCGGTGGTAGTAGAAGGCTCTCTCGGATGGGGGCTGGGGGGGGGGGGGGGGGTCAATTTTTGTGTTGCCTAGGGCAGCACAAAACCTAAATACACCACTGCGTACAGTGATTGGTGTTCCGCTGGGTCCGGACACAGCGGGCACCGGATCGCGGTGCCACATGCTCCCAGGGAGCACGTTTATAAATGGCCACCTGCTCCTGCAATGCTCCCGTCCAGCCCATGTATATAAACGGCCGGACGGGAGCATTGCAGTGGTTAAAGCTTATTTAACCTCTTCACAACCGCCCACAATGTACTGTGGATGGGCGGCCTCAGTAGGCAAATCAGCGTATGGGTGTGTTGCTGCCTACTTGTGGATTTCGGGCATGAAGTGGTAATCAAAATACCACCAAAAGAAAGCTTTGTGTCAAAAAAAAAATTATATAAATTTTGTTTGGGTACAGTGTTTCATGGCCATGCAAAAAAAGTTATAGTACCGCAAAAAATGGCCTGGTCATTAAAGGGTAAAATCTTCCGAAGCGGAAGTGGTTGTGTTCATTTTAACAGCAAAAAGGAATACTAAAAAAAAAAAAAATTATTATTTTCACAAAGCAGCCAGACACATGGGAGTCTCCTTATGATTCATACATTTCTTTCAACTGGATCCCATAGAGAAATGTGTGAATCTGGAGTGAAAACCTTTATAAACCGATCCCTTATTTTCTCCGGTAGCAGATTCATACGGTGATTCGGTGCTATGAGAAACAATTCTCCTTTCATACACACTCTGGAGGAATAAAATATCCTCTGCACACATTACAGGAACAAGGAAGAGGAAAAAAAAAAAACACAAAAAAACACTTCAAAATAACTTTCTGAAATGTGTAAGAAATTTTTTTTTAAAAAAGTGGTCAGAAAAGAAATATTTCATGTTATAGTTTTTACATTTTTTTTTACAATGTATCAAAAAATGATCCACTGAGAAAGATCACAAAGCAGCCTACCTGGTACGGTTACTGTTCCATCTTGTTCCAAAGTCTCTGGGTTAATCCTTATGGCTGTCACACTGTGATTGTTCACATCTCTGTAGAGCAAAAAACCCTAAAAAAGGTAAAGCAAATGAAAGTCATTTTCAGTACTATTTACAAAAACACAAAGTTTTGAGCCATCATTAAAAATTCCCGATCAGCAGCATTTAGTGTGAAAAATAACTGGTTAACCCAAAAGTAAACATTGTTTAGGGAAAAAAAAAAAAAAAAAAAAAAAAAAAAGGAAAAAAAAAGGACAGGTGGAGGGCAAAGGCCTAGTCAACAGCACAGTGTTTAGTCCCCTGCAGCCAATTCTACCCCCATTACTGACATACCACAGTCACCTCTGTGCGCTACACTCTGAAATGAGGAAGCAAAGCCCTGCCTCTGCAAAAGACAGTCTCCAGCAAGGTAAGCAACACTGAGCAGCACAGTATTGCCGTAGGAATGCATTACCTACTATAAGAGCTTGTGTAGATGGGCAAATGTCGCATACTTTTAGGTGAATGCAACTTCCATTTGAGATTAGTTTAAGATGCTTTGGAGTTCCTTCACAAGTTTTTAACCCCCTCCTAACCTTTCAGGCTGTGTTGCCTGTTCAATAATTTTGCACTTTTGTTGGCTTGTTTGAAAGAAAAACAAAAGCCTGTGTATGCAAGTCCTTACAGGGAAATATCTTAAAGGCCTCTTCAGCCAGCCATACATGGATCATCATTTGGCTGATTCAGCAGATACTGGCTGAGATACGATCTGTATATGGGCAGGCTGACTGGATTCACTTGGGTACAACCAGCCTAGTTTTTTTTTTCTCAGCTTTAGCCGCTAGCAGTAATCATTGTATTCTGCTGCCCAGGAAGGATCCTCAAGCCCCTCTTCCACAAGCAGAACCCGTGGTGGAAGGCTTGAAAATCAAATTATCTATGGGCTGCCTTAGTGTTGGACTGCCAGAATGTTTTAAAGTCTTTACATACCTGTTCACTATTATATTTAAAAATGCATCCATGTTTAGTGCTCGTACAAGGGTAACACTTTGATTTGGGTTTAGCCTGGAATTCTACATTTTAAATCTGCAGTAATGTGTAACCAACAAGTTCTAAGAATGTTCGCTCCCTGTGTCAGTCAGGGGAGAAGAGGAAGCAGTGGCAATGGATGGGTCATAAGAGCCTATAGGTGACATTACAGCTCCAAGTTTTACCACCTGTTCTTCACAGTTTTCTCCTCTCCTTTGTGTGTATACACATCTTTCTTACACAGGTTAGTCCGCCCAGGCATTAGATGAATTTTTAAGACTAGTTTGGTTTAAACTGGAATTGTATTTTAAGTTCGCCAATATTACACATCAAAATAAGAATGAACCAATGGGTCACAAATGCGGTCAGTCATTCTACTGTGTTATGATAGGTGGAGAACTTGTAACAGCAAATAAATCAGAGAAGAGCTCAGCCAAGACTTTTTGGCTAGCAAAGTTACTATACATCATGGGGTACTTGCTATTAGGTAGGATTTTGCTTTGTTTTTTTACACTGGCAGTCAGTGCTCTCCTAATCAGCCAGGCCAGCTCAATCACTAACGTGAATAAACGATAAATAAGTGCAGTTCTATTAAAGCAGGTGTATATAAACACCTTGGTCACCAGGTGATAGGAGTGCTCTGTGGGTATAGGAGAAAGACCCATGAGGCCTCTGTGTGAAAGTGGAAATGGTGTTAAAAAAAAAAAAAAAAAAAAAAAAGATACTACAGCAAGTGTATAGGACCTCTAACGGTTTGGGTACTGAGGTTTGAGCAACAACTGCACACAACGAAAAAACCCCAAGGTACCTGAGCATAACCCAACCAAGACTTTTTCTCGCTTCTGCTCTTGATGCGGGATGTGGAATTGTAAATGTGACCCTGGAAATAAAAAAAAAAAAAAAAAAACAATTCAGGTTTTAATCCCAATTCAAACAGTTGCTCCTAGGGTTGAACTGCAGTGCATATTCCCAGACCCCATCTCACATACTGCAATCAAATACATGTCCTAAAGTACCCAAGACCTCTTCATTCAAGATAGGTTTGAAACAGATTCAACAGAAGCAATCATGACCAAAAAAAAGATTTAGTATTCAGTAGATCAATACAGCAAACTGAAAATAAATGAGCAAATAGGGGTATGGTTTGGCAGCAAGATCCCATTGATCTTTCTGTTCTACTACAAGATATATAGATGACATGACATCTACCAAAAGGCAGCAAACCTATAAAAGTTAGGTCACAGGGTGATCACTGCAGGTCCTCCCTTAAATTACAACAAAAAAGGCTTGAAAATAAAGCTTACAATGCAGATGCCCTTACTGGGCAAGAAAAGCAACAAGGGAAGACATAGATTATACTCACCCTCACTGTTCCACTGTATCCAGAACCAATTTTGTAAAGGCCATCTTTGCATAAAAGATAGAGGAAGAAGCCATCACTCTGAAGGAGGCACTGGTCGTCTTCATCGACAGGGATCTCTTTCAGAGACCATTTTTGCATCAAGGCAGCCTTTTTAATCCCACTTGTAAACCAGTCCTGGATCTGAATTTTACCCACCAGAACTGCTTGAACACTCCGCTGCAGAGAGTTCAAGATGATTGGCACCTGTCACATATGAAGACAAAAAGGTTACTGTTGGAATGCAAGAGAGCAGAACAAAAGTAAAATAAGGACACAAAAAAGGTTTAGTTTCTAAAGAAAACCCATAACTGAAAAAAGTAGTTCAGAAAACCTAAAAAAGCTATGATTGCCCTCATCAGGTTTGCATATTTAACACAAGAATTCCAAAATATATTGCATGCACGAGCTGTCCATACACGTTACACTACTGACAGGCGTGGTCCCCCCCAATCCAAAAAGATTTTATGATCCAAGGATCTTGTTCTCTTGCAGTCAACACTCTTTGCATTTAAATTGAACATCACATTATTTTAATGTGACTGCCTTCGCTTTTGGGGAAAAAAACAAAACAAAAAAAAAAACAAAATTACCTGAATTGTTTGGCATGCATGGCTGCCATTGTTGGTAAGAATAGCCGAGATGGCTTGAAGGGTTTTTCCCGTTTCTCCCCATGCTACCACCAGACTGAATAGGCAGGAACAGGAAAGTGCAGTTAGTGACTGTCCAGTGGTGTCGTTGGCTCCTGTACTACGAACAGTGATTTCCAGAATAAGCTGAAGAAGAGACTCTGTGAACAAAAAAAAAAAAAAAACCATTTCAAGTAAGGCATAAAACACAGCAAGTTATCTGCTGTGTACAGACCTTTTTCAGACTAAAATTTCAATGAAACAATGGTTAGACAAGATGGCGCACAGAACAAAAAGGTAGCAACCAGTAGTCATTTAAAAACCAGACCTGTACTAAAAAAAAAAAAAAAAAAAAAAAAAAAAATATGAAGACTTGCTGTCACAATATACAAGGGGATAATTGTGAACAAGTACACTTAGAAATATGATGTTCGCCTTTAATTTTTCATAAGAAGCTGTAATGCAATTCTGGCCTTTTACATTGCCTAGACAATGCTGTTCTTGTAGATATCTGCTGTGTAAACCCATTGAAGGCAGATCCTGCCCATTCCTGCCCTGGATAATTGCAATTCTCACCAGCTCTGAAGTGTCTTTCCTGATCACTGAAGTATCAGTTGTTGATGCAATTACTGTGCTGCTTATTGTTTTTCTAAGAGACTGCTGAAGAAGGTGTTGTACCGGCAGTACGACCTGCACCTATATCTTGTGAAGCATATGGGGGCAAATCTGACATAAGGAGGCAAATACATACTCCTCTACAGATGGGTACTGCATTATGGAAACACAACATAAAACAAGTTGGCTCAAAGGAAAATATGAGCTGCAGGAGCCTAAAGTCAGCTGATCTGTTTTGGGGGAAAGATACCATAGTATAGGTCTGTACTGTATAGGTTTGCTTTAATGGACTGGACTGCATTAAAGTGGACTCTGGTTGCAACACAGAAATCCTCACTGATCTGCACAATTCCTCACTTTTTAAACCTGGTAATTTAAGCTCAAAATAATTACCATAATATAGAAAAACTGTATCCCCAATATTTACTATTAAATATGGGACAACAGAAACTGATTTTTCTGCATTTCTGTAATAAACATTTACCACTAAAAGTTGAAAGATCCTCCAATGTAGCGCATTTGCAACACAGAGTACCTCAAACATAAAACATTACCACCCTGTGTTTTGTTTATTAGTATTAGCATTACGGTAATCCTGTGATAAATTATGCCCAGGTTCACATATATATGTGTGTGTGTGTGTGCACACATGGCAGGTATAGCAGCCCATTCATATGAATGGGTTGCTGTACCTACAAAAAAAGAAAAAAAACCCCACCAGGGAAAGAAGTCCTTTACCCTTTTTTTAAAAACATGCCGCAGGGAACTGCATGGTGCTGCAGCACCATGCGTTTTTGCGTGCTTTGGTGCAGATGTGTAAGGGTGTTAAATTAAGGTCACCCCTGTGTGGCAACTAAATTTTAGCATGTGTGTGGGTTGGGAATATGCACGTATTTCTGGCACGCATATACTGTATCAGCAGCTAGCCTAAACGCTTAGTCCACCTATTACAACAGGTCACACACGTAACATGATGCAAAATTGCCACTTACCATTTTAGACGCTCTTTTAGGATATCTCCAGTACTGAAAAATACTACTTTGTTCTCAGTTTATGAGAGAACTGGGGAGCTGTGTTTGCCATAGTTAACCATGTCTGTACTGTGCTGGCAGATCTGTATCAGTTGTAAACTAGATTTGTACACGGTTTCCTAATAAAGTGTTAAAGATTCAAAATCTGGCCTCCAGCAATGTCTATTTTATGTAACTGGTTTTAAATGGATGCTGTGTAATAGGGAGTAGGGTTTTCTCAAATGAGTGCAAATTTGACTGCATGAGAAGATGTGCTGTAAATCTCTGCCAATGCGTGTGCACAGATGCCGCTGGGTTCTGGGATCTTTCAGTGTGTGCATCATCAGGAATCCCCGTTTTGTGCGCGGATGTGCTGCAGAAAATAAATACCAGGCAGAGACCTGCACTTAATCTGTGAACACATGCTTTCTAGTGGTGTGTCTACTTATCTAAGTAACACATTGCTTCCTACTGAGCAAAAAAAAAACACCCCAAAAACTCTCCCCAAGGCATCTAGCCTTACCCAACACTTCTGGGGGTTCCGACTGGAGTCCCTCTGGCTGTTGACCCTGTAGTATATTGAGGAGGGCCTGTAAGCTCCTCAAACACAGTGATGGGTGGGAAAAAGCGAGTCTCCTTTATCAACTCAAACACTTCACATAAACCAATTTCAATTATCTAAGGAGAAAGCAAAAAAGGAATTAAAAAAAAAAAAAAAAAAACCAAACATTAAAATATTTATATTAAGAATATGTAACATATTAAATAAGGGGACTTGCAAGTTCATGGAAGACACTGTACTGACTTTCCTGCTTTTATCATATTTGCTTTACAGGTCATTTATAGTCTCTTTTCACTGCAATCAGTCTAAACATAACATTGCAGAAAGTTTTTTTCTTTTTTTTTGTGAATAAAAAGTGGATCAAAGAGCTCAATGTAACTGACAAAAAGGTCTTTGTAGAATAAATGCAGACTAAATCAGAAGTTTTGTAGATGAGAGCAGGAAAGGAACAATCCCATACATCACATAGGTGTCTAAAAACAGGATAACAAGGAGAATAGGGAATATGCAAAGTTAATAAATTAGAATACTTTACATGCATAGAGACAGGACATCCATGGAATAAGCTCAATACTGGCCATGACCTTGAAGTTTCTAACGACTTTTAATGTACTGGTGTAAAGCATGCCACCACTGGACTCTAGAGCAGTGGAGACATGTTCTCTGGAGTGATTAATCACACTCGTCTCTCGGGCAATCCGATAAGATATGTCTGGGTTTGGCAGCTGCCAGAACAGTACTTGCCTGACTGCACTGTGTCAAGTTTGGTGGAGGGGATTATTGTGAAGGGTTGTGTTTCAGGGGTTGGGCTTGGCCCCTTCGTTCCAGTGAAGGGAATTCTGAAGGCTTCAGCATACCAAAGACATTCTGGACAATTTCATGCTCCCAACTTTGTGGAACAGTTTGGGGATGGCCCCTTCCTGTTCCAACATGACTGCGCACCAGTGCGCAAAGCAAGCTCCATAAAGACATGGCTCAGCAAATTTGGGGTGGAGAAACTTAACTGGCCTGCACAGAGTTCTGACTTCTACCCGATAGACACCTTTGGGATGAATTACAGTGGAGACTGCAAGCCAGGCCTTCTCGTCTGACATCAGTGCCTGACCTCACCAATGCGCTGCCGTAAGAATGGTCAAACATTCCCATAGACACATTCCTAAACCTTGTACACATACACACACCCCTGGGAAAATGTATGGAATCGCCACTGCTGGAAAAATGTCCATTCAATTGTGTATAACAAAAAAAAAAATATAAATAGATATATAGATATATATATATACACACACATACACACACACACATACATACATACATATATACACATACATACATATATATATACACACACACATATATATACACACACATATATATATACACACATACATACATATATACACACACATACATACATACATGTCAACTATTTTCATTTAACATCCCAACCTTCTGACTTAAGAAAAACACAAACATAAATAGAAAAAAGAAAAAAAAAGATAGTCAGTTGCAAATGTTTTTTCAGGAGGAAAAACTAACTCAATTCTGAGTAAAATATTATGGAATCATGGAAAAAAAAAAAAAAAAAAAAAAAAAAAAAAAAAACACCCCACACAACACATCCAACACACTACAGTACACCACTTGAATCCTCTGAGGCACAGATTTAACAATGAACAAACTATATTCTTTATCAGTTCAGCTTCAGTTTTCTCCTATTGCAGTTACCAGATCAGCTTTGCAGGTTGGAGCCTTGTCATGTAACATTTTCTTTAATTTCCACCATATATTTTCAATTGGATGGAGGTCTGGATTATTTGCAGGCCATGCCATTGACATTATATGTCGAGGGAAAGTTTATGACTTTTGCCCTATGGCAAGATGCATTATCCTGAAAAATGTCATCACCAAACATCCTTTCATCTGATGAAATAAGAAAAGTGTCCAAAAATTCAATATAAAATGTGTGCATTTCTTGAAGAGTTAATGACTCCTCTCCCCCATACCTTTACTTGACATGCAATCCCATATCATCAATGATTGATTGTGGACATGTGCATTTTTTTTTCAGGCAGTCATCTTTATAAATTTCATTGGAACGGTACCAAACAATCGTTCCAGTATCATCACCCTGCCCAATGCAGATTTGAGATTCGTCACTGAATCTCACTTACATCCAGTCATCCATAGTCCATCATTGCTTTTTTAGTCCACTGTAACCTTGTTTTTTTTCTGTTAAGGTGTTAATTATGGTTTTTGTTTGGCTTTTCTGTATGTAAATCTCATTTCCTTTAGGCCATGTCTTCCAGTTTGGTGACAGACATTGACTCCAGTTTCTACCCATTGTTCCTCTTTTTGTTGTGAATTTTCTGTTTTCAAGGCATATTGCTTTAAGTTTTCTATCTTGACACTTTGAGGTCTTCCTTGGTCTACCAGTATGCTTCTCTTTTACAGCCTTCCCATTTGATTTGTACTTGGTCCAGATTTTAGACACAGCTGACTGGGAACAGCCAACATCTTTTGCAGCATTCCATGAGGATTTACCTTCTGAAAGTTTTATAATCCTCTTTGTTTCAACTGACATCTCACGTGTTGGAACCATGATTCATGTCAATCAGCTTGGTGTAACAGCTCACCAAGGTTTGCAAGCAGTCTTTAACTGCAGACTAATTAGCAGATGCAACCTGATGCAGATGTTTGTTTTAGAACTGCAAAGTACATGGTGATTCCATAATATTTTCCTCAGAATGGAGTTATTCCATTTTTTTCCTCTGCTTGATCTGCAAAAACAGTTGGAATTGACTTTTTGTTTTGGGTTTTTTTTTTTTTTTTTAAGTGTTTCTCAAAGCCATAAGGTTGGAATGTTAAATGAAAATAGTTTTGAGGCATATCTGTGATTAGTTTTTTTCCTGCTCAATTAAACAACTGAATGAACATTTTCCAAGAGTGGCGATTCCATATTTTTTGCCAGGGGTTGTACATCACATACCTTCTAAAAAATAAAACCATATGGTAGGGAGACTGTTAATTATGTTGGAAGTATTACCTTTGGAAGCTTAGTAGGTGGCTCTTTGGACTCCTCCTCTTCATCACTGTCAGACTCCCCACTCTGCACAGAGTTCTTTGAGGATAAGAGGAGGGAGGTTTCTTTCCTCTGCCATTCCAAGACACAGTGACGAACATTGCAATAAACATTGAATGCTGAAGGGTTACTGTGGAGCTTGAGGTCGGGTATAAAAAGAGCATTTTCCAGGTTATCAGCCTGAAAGAAAAAAAAAAAAAAAATAGTCACATACATGCTATTACATGGGTTTTGGAACACTAAAGGTAAAAAGAGACCCTATGCAAAAAAAACAAAACACATAAAGCAGATTTGAAGAAATCTCTCAGAAAAAGCAGTCGTACTTTTAAAAAAAAAAAAATCAGAAGCCACAGAGTAAAGTTAGCATGTAGAGGTCACCAGCAGTGACATAGTATATTTACAGAACTACAAATTGCATTGCTCCCATGCCAATGTTTAAAGTGGACTTGTTAATGAGTTGCTATATAAGCAATTTTTGAATAAAAATGTTGTATCGCAAAAAAGATTCTTCTGCAAAACTACCCCACAAGATTACAAAAAGGTACACAAAATATCACATTAGGTCTAATGTTCCACACCATCAGGCTGTCGGGAGTGTCATTGAAAGTCTATCAGATCAGAATCCTATTAACCAATTCAATACCGGGCACATTTACCCCCTTCCTGCCCAGGCCAATTTTAAGGTTTCAGCGCTCTCACACTTTGAATGACAATTGCGCGGTCATACAAAAAAAGCTGTACCCAAACTAAAATTTTATCATTTTCTTCACACAACTAGAGCTTTCTTTTGGTGGTATTTAAATCACCGCTGGGGTTTTTATTTTTTGCTAAATTAACAAAAAAAATTACCAAAAAATTGAAAAAAAAAAAAAAAAAAAAAAAAAAAAAAAAAAAACCCCCACACACACCACACATTTTTCTGTTTCTGTTATAAAAGTTTGCAAATAAATAATTGTTCTTCATAAATTTAGGCCAAGATGTATCTACTATATGTCTTTGGTGAAAATTACCCAAATTAGTATTTATTTAGTCTGTAGGAAAGTTATAGAGTTCAAAAACTATGGTATATATCTGAAAATTGATCAATCCTGAAGTACTGACGGCCAATCTAATTTCTTGAGGTCCAAGAATGTCAGGACAGTATGGATATCCCCCAAATGACCCCTTTTTGCAAACTAGACAGTCCAACGTATTTCATAACAGGCATGGCGAGTTTTTTGAAGTTGTAATTTTGTCATAATTTTTCGGAAATGAATAAAAAAAGATTTTCACAATTTTTTTTTTTTTTTTACACTCTGAAGGAGTACGGTGAACTATCAAATTTAAAAATTAATCCAACGAAAACAGAGATCCTGAATATTAATATACCAAAGAATGAAAAAGAAAAACTACAAAAAGAATTCCCCTTTATATGGCGAGAAAAAGATAAAATACCTAGGAATAAAACTCACTGCCTCATCTAAGCATTTGTATAGATTAAACTATATTTCTTTGGTAAATGAGATCAGGGAAGATTTAAAAAGACTAGAAGGAGGAAATCCATCCTGGATAGGACGTATAAACCTAGTCAAAATGGTAATTATGCCTAAAATACTGTATAGATTTCAAATGGTACCAATTAAAATTCCAGAAGCCTTCTTTAAGATAACGAAAAAAATGTTAACAAGATACATATGGAAGAATAAAAAACCCAGAATAGCATATGAAACATTGAGTAGGACTAAAGAGAAAGGGGGATTGGGTCTACCAGATGTCAAGAGATACTATAAAGCGGTGGTTTTAGCAAGAATATATGACTGGACATTTAACCACAAGGGGAAAAGTTGGGTAACAATAGAAAATGATCTTAGTGGCATTAGATTGAACCAGATGATATGGGTCCCACCACAGTTTAGGGGAATCAAAGATAGCACAAGTATTTACACTTTAAATGTTTTTAGGGTATGGGACAACTTACACAAAAACATGAAATGGTAATTTAATTCTATATTAATGCCTCTCACAAATACTGATTACTTTCCCCCGGGAAAGAACAAGATATCAGGGAGATGGTTTTAGAAGGGAGGATACCCAACTGACAGATGTTCTGGTGGAGGGGGGAATTGAGATCACTTAAAGACTTAAAAGAGAAGAAGGGAGATATCTTTATTAGAATGGATGAGTGGAAATACTATCAATTGAAATGTTTTATTGGAAGTCTTCCGAAACCTTTGAGAATAAAACAGGAGTGGAATATGTTTGAAAGGTTGTTAGAGACACGCAGAGATGGGAAGCACGGTATTTCAAAAGTGTATAAAATACTCACAGAATTAGACACAAACACAAAGCTAACTTTTATCACTAAATGGGAAAGAGATATGGGAGTTGGGTTTGATGAAGATAGACAGAGAAAGATGTTTAGATTGATACACGATAATGTTAGTATGAGAGAGGTTGAGGTGAATTATAAGTGTGTGACACGATGGCACATTACACCGAGTGTAGAGCACAGGATGAATGGGGAAAAGTCAAATAAGTGTTGGAGAGGATGTGGAGAGATGGGCACGGTGTTTCACATATGGTGGGAATGTCCGAAAATTCAGACTTTTTGGAAGATAATAGTCAAATTGATTAAAGAAATAACTGAAATTGACATAGGATTAGACCCAACAACGTGCCTCCTACACAATGTGGAGACATCTGTAAATAAATATAAAGATTCAGGTATTTGGTACTTCTTGAATGCAACGAAAGGGTTGATACCTAAGTTTTGGTGGAAGGCTGAGGTACCGAAGGAAGAAGACTGGATAAATAGAGTAAACCAGATAGGTAGAATGGAAAGATCATACCATATGCAGGAAGATAGGATGAGAGTTTATTTTAGGAGATGGGAAAAGTGGGAAAGAGCAGGATTGAAAGAGAAATATAGGAAAATATGAATTAGGATGTTAACAAGCCTCAAGAGAGTAGAATGGGCTAGAGTCTGCAGAGGGAGAGGAGGGGGGATGAGGGGAGGGAAGGGGGGGTTCGTGTGAGGGGAAGGAAAAGAGTTTTTAGTAAGGGAAAGATAGAAATGTCATAAATGTTTACTTGTATGAGAATTTTTTTTTTTCCCTATTTGGGATTTTGTATTAAAATGAAAAACTTTAAATATTTAAATTATAAAAAAAAGACAAAACATGCTGTACTATTAAGCAGGTGCAGCATTTTTGGGGGGGAAAGAGGTCTGCACCTTGTACATATATAACTACTAAACATTTTACCTTATCTCTTTTACATATATATCTAAAATTACACATTAAGAGCATAGTTTTCTTTGACCCAACGCTAAAAAAGGAATATTTTACTAACAGTCAGGAAACATCTAACAACGATAACTGTGCCTACGGCGTACCCTGAAAAAGTACTTTTGGTTTTGAATGAAGCAGTGCACTTCCTGGTATGTGGCTGTGCCTAGGCACTCCTGAGTCTACAGCCTCCTAGCTGTATATGCAATAGAAGAGGCACTGCTGCCTAGTCTCACCAGTTTTAAAGTTAGATTTCATATCACTACTGCACTGTTTGCAGGAGAAGCTGAGTATCTGCAGTGCATGCCTGCTTTATTCATTATTTTGACCTGTGTTTTCTATATCTTTTCTGTTGCTTCTTGATCATTAGCAGGCAGGTCTGATATGAGAGCGCAAAGCCCTGCTGCTACAGGGATGGTCACTGTCACAAAGACACTGGCGAGCAAGGCATGGTAAGCTAGCGAATAGGAAAAGATCACCTGTAGAGAATCCAATGCAGCAAGTCTGTGCACTCTGCTTGGGTTCAGCTTCCACAGTTCAGATCCTCTTAGAATATTTTAGATAGCAAAAAAAAAATTAAACAATTTTTTTTTTTTAGACCAAAACAGCACAAAAAATATATTTAACTTAATATTTATACATATGCTAACAGCAACACTGTAGTACTGTTTTTGTTGGGGGAAAAAAGAAAAAAAAACAAAATAGCAAAAAGAGATGACCTTCAACTTAAAGCTGAACCACAGGCAAAAAAAAGGCTGAATATACACATTAAATACATATATGGGAGTCATTTTACCTGCCAAAAGGATTTGAATTTGACCATCCAGTTCCAAGTGTCAAACAGTACGAGGGCCTGTTCCCTTTCTGCCGAAGTTTCACTTTCACTTAGGACAGTGGTAGGCAACCTGCGGCTCTCTAGCTGCTGTGAAACTACATTTCCCATGAGGCATTGCAAAGATTAAAAACTGACAGTTACAGCTATGACTTGCAGAGGCATGATGGAACTTTTAGTCCTGCGGCTCTCAGGTTGCCTACCCCTGACTTAGGAGGTCTCTAACTCACCTCACACTTTGACTGGAAAGTAGAAGCAGCATGCATCGTCCTACATTTCTAGGAAAACTATGAATCAACATAAGTGAAACAGGGGCTCTTACTACCAGAAAGCTCCTGTTGCCCATATGGCTACTGTACACATAACTAAGGTTCCCCCCTTGGTGGATTTTCCTTGATATCCTGAACTCATTCCCTGCTGCAAATAACTGCTTCAGGTACCTCATCACCTTCATACACTGAAGATCTGGGACTCAGGACGCGCTCAAATTTTCAAGCTTCCTAATCACAGTTCACCTACCCCTGTATACATTATAGGGTAACCCAATGTTTCCACTGGCCCTGGAAATTCAGGAAGCCTTAAAATGGTATTTGGATAACACAATATATAGTTTTACATTTTTCAGGTCCAATTTCATGGGAGACTTTAAAGGGACCAGTTCCAGATTTCCTCCCAAAGAAAAATTTAGATATTACAAATACAAGTCATGGACTCCTTTAAATCCTTCAGCCCTTACCTCAAACCCCCTCACTCAGCCTGAGCACATCTGCCTCAATAACGCTTGCACACCTAAGCCAATTTCTACTTTATATTCACATACTATTGCTCATCATCCAACAATCATTCCTAGTTTAGAAATTGACAAAATCATACTTACAAATCTAGGGAGGACTGGTCCCAAATCTGGTGAAAATATTTCTAAAAGCTCTTCCAAAAGTAACCTCTTGAACTTGCCTGAAAAGGTGCTAACCCAATGGCATCTGGTGCCATCCAGGAGAGTCTACATAAAATCTAAAGCTTCCAACAAGTGCTTAAAGGGGCTGTAATGAGGTTGGCGATGTCAAGCATACTTGGTGAACAAG